AAAATCTTAAAAAAAAAAAAAAGAAATGTTCCTCTTGGCCTCCGTTTGCCCTTCTGAAAAGTGGGTACACTAACAGTACCCACCTCTTAGGACTATTGTGAGAGCATTAAAGGAGTTAAACTGCCCAAAAGCCTGGCTCATAGTAAGTGCTTAATAAATGTTAGCTGGTATCCTGACAGTGTGTGTTGGGGGCATGCCAGACCCACTCTGCACCCCACCTTCAGCACACGGGTTGTGCAGGAGGTTCCTGTGGAGGCTGCGTAGGAAGTAGAAGGTCTTCCAGTCCGCCACGGGCTGGTCCCAGTCCTCGGTGATGAAGCCCTCACGCAGGCATTTGCGCTTCCAGAGGGTCACGAGGTCGATGAGGTCTCGCCAGAGGCTGCAGACCAGGCGGCAGCGCAGGAGCAGCTGGCGGGCGGGCACGTGCGTGAACAGCTCCAGCAGGATGTTCTCAGGCAGCTCGTTGATGTTCCCCGCGGCCATGGCTCTACCTTCTGGACACTCTCCTGTGGTTATTGAAAAGCTACGCTACAGACCCGGCCCCCTCCCCGGGACCTGGTATTTGCAGCACCCCGTGGTGGTGATGGAGGTTCCCATTCCAGCTCTGCCATCTACTCTCTCAGGAAAGTCACCGTGCCTCCCTGAGCCTCAGTTTCCTCCTCTGTGAAACGGGGCCAGGAGCAGTACTCACTCCTGGAGAGGGGTCAAGGAGCCTGTGACACAGCAGACGCTCAGTAAAAGGTGAGCTGTGATTTTTTTCCTGGCACCTCACAACAGCCTCTAAAGGAGGCTAAGGAGGCCAGGAGAGGTGGAAGGATCTGCCCAAGGACACAGAGACAGGAGCAGAGCGGGGAAGGAGCTCGAGTCTTCTCTGATGCTACAGCCAGGCTTTTTCAGTAGGCCAGACAATCTTTAGAGTGGAAATGACCATGCGCAGCCCCGTCCGGTGCCTTCTCCGCTCTCTCTCCCATCCTCAAAACGGAGGAGGGGGAGAGGTTCGGGGGTGGGGGTAGACGGAGGTCCAAAGGGCTCAAGCGACTTTCCCAAGACCGCGGAGGAAACGATCTGCCCAGCAGGGACTGGAGAAGGGGTGGACTAGGGGGCAAGGCCTTTCCTATACCTCCACCCCCACCCCCGTGGCTGGGCTCCAGCCCCAGGTCTCCCTGCGGCCTGCCATTTCGCGTTGTGGCTTCAAAATGTCCCTCAAAGCCGGGGCTCGGGTCCCTGGGCATCGATGG